TCACAATTTTCTCCTAAGAAACATTACCACTGAGAAAGTTTTAAATCAAAGTCTTATAATTCATCACTAAGTGGGACACAAAATATTACCCATAATCTATAGCTGTCAAACCTGCCTGACCTCAAGCTCATCAACAAGACACATAACCAAGAGATGTAGAACGTACAAAATCCTGTAAGACAAGTCAGCCAGTTCTTTCACCAAGTGGCATTAAAAAAAAAAAAGGAAGGAAATGAATACTATTCTAAAGACACTTAAAAGACTTGACCAAACATACCCACCTTATTCATTTTTCCGGCTCAAACAAACCACTTGTTAAAATATATTTGAGGATAATGTAGAAAACCTGCTAAAAATATTAAATGGTACTAAATCACTATTTTTATTTTTCTTAGGTTTGATAAGTTAAACAATTATAAACAAAATAAGTATCCTTTTACAGATGAATACTGAAGTATTTAGTGATAAAACATCATTAAATCTTTAAACTGCTTTAAAACACCTTAGTAAAAAAGTGAAAAAACAAAAACAGCAAAATGTTAACTGCTAAATCTAAGTGATGGATATATGGCAGTTTATATTTTTTATCTGCATTCTATGTTTTAAAATTTTTAAAACAAGGACATTGGGGAGGGTATGTACTATGGTGAGCACTGTGAATTGTGTAAGACTGATGAATCAGAAACCTGTACCCCTGAAATAATACATATGTTAATTAAAAAAATAGACAAAAAAGAAAAAAAATTTAAAACAAGAAAAAAATTTCAAAATACGATTTAAAAAACGCCTGTATGTTCTTAATGACAAAAAGGTAGTTATTTTGGTAGTAATCAGTTTTTGCTTTAATACAAGGCTTAAATATATATTTGTTTCCATTGAACCATATATATATCAAATTGCCAAAATGTCTCAGGACAGAAGCTCTGGTGGGTATAAGATCTATCTCAAAAACAATTTCCAATCAAACTGCCAAAGTCTCTCAACAGATATTTATTTATTTTCACTGAAGGAAATTCCTAAAGACTGGTAGCATCTGTTACCTACATATCTTTTAGTAAACCCTCGTTTTCATTTTGTTCTCAAACCTGCCACTGGTACAGCTCAGGCCCAGGAGGGACACTGTGGCCCATGTTACAGATCCCTAAAGTCCTCTAATCCTTGCACAGCCACAGACCTGTGTTCTGCCACTGGTGCCTAAATGATGCTCTCCTGTATCCGAAGAATCACAATTCGTGAAGGGGAAGGAAAAGGTCAAACTACCCTCCTCCCAACTTGGGACCTTATCTTTGTTCACAGCTGTGTCTCAGGCATCCAATACAGTGACTGGCAGAGTAGGAACCCAATATTTGTCATGTGGATAGAACAAACAATACTCCTTCATGAGCAATTTACAGAGATTTTAGTGATACATTTTTTGAGTTTTTATTCTTTTTCCAAGTCCCTTTTCCCAGGACCCAGGTAACAGTCTTTATACTATAGAAAAGACAAACACCATGCTATACTAAAAATCTCTTCTGTTCAGTGCACAGTTTTTTTTTTTTTTTTTTGGTTCAAGCTAGTCCCAATGAGTCTCTCTCCTCCCTTAAAAGTTCCCACCAAAAGGTTCTTCTTCCCCTATTAATATAAGCCTAGACACACACATATAAGCTCAAATCCCCACAGAGGCTCACAGCAGAAATGACCCTTTATAAAACCTGAAGCCATTCTTTAAAGAATGTGTTTTTAAAAGCCAATATAAAATTGGCAGAGCAAGAGACAAGACCTAGGATCAGCATGCATTTAGTGAGGCAATTAGAATCACCCAAACAAAACTGAAAACAAGCTATTTCACCTATTTAATGATTTGTTCAGAAACACATATTTATGGGGTGCCTGGGTGGCTCAGTCGGTTAAGCATCTGCCTTTGGCTGAGGTCATCCCACAGGTCCTGGAATCGAGCCCTACGTCGGGCTCCCTGCTCAGAGGGGAGTCCACTTGTCCCTCTCCTCCTCGCCCTCTGCCCCTCCGCCTCCCCCCACCCCAGCTCATGCTCACTCTCTCATTCGTGTGCTCTCTCTCATTCACACTCTCTCTCTCAAATAAATAAAATCTTTAAAACAAAACAAAATACACATTTACGTTTTAAGTAAATTTCACTACAGTATAATATCCTGAAGGCTAGAGTTATACCATGTAAGTGGCACCTTGATATACTCACATTTACCATTCACAATTTCAACTCTTTGGAAATTTTCCCTAGGGATATCATGAAGTTAGAGGTTTCTAAAGTCTAAGTGTGAAAGTCTCTGCTACAAGGCTGAGTGATCTTAGCACTAACCAATCCATCTCAAAGTAGCTACGTGGTTCCATTTTGTTAGCTTACTGAGAAAACATACTAACTCATCAGGAAGACTATTCTGAAGTGTGACTGACCTTTGAACAACACGAGGGTTAGGGGCAATCCCCACCTCCACACGCAGTTGAAAATCTGTGAATAACTTTTGACTCCCTCAAAACCTAACTATGAATAGTCTATCGTTGACCGGAAGCTTCCTGGTAACATAAACAGTCGATTAACACATGTATTTTGTACGTCATATGTATTACATACCGTACTCTTACAATAAAGTTAGAAAAAAGAGAACGTTACTATGAAAATAATACAAAAAACCTATTTACATAACTGTACTGTAAAAACACTCCTGTGTATAAGTGGACCTGCACACTTCAAACCTATGCTGTCTGAGGGTCTTGTAATGTGGTTTCACCTTCCTTCAGTTGCCTTTTACCCCTATCATGCAAACAATACACACGCTGTTCAGTGGGAATTTATTCATCATCAATCAACCCTTCAGTTTTTAAAATGTCTAAGTTTTAGCCTTAACAGTTAACATCACTTAGCCTTTAACAGTTAACATCAATATTTTTATATTCAGGTTTCTATGAAAAGCATAGTTTTATAAAAAAAAAAATCCATTTTTATGTCAAATCAAGCTCAATTTTGTGACTGCAAACAATTTTCTCTCAACTGTTGATTCTGTAATACATCACCCCTCAAAAGAACATAATTTTAACGTGAAAGAAAAAGAGGATATAGAAATTGTTGGGTTGCACTGAGCACCAGGTTCTACGTTTAAGTACACTGCACTACTTTGCTAGAAGAACTAACTCAACTATGGCTTCACATTTTTATGTGGAAAACTAATTGAGTACATGAAGACCATCTTAGCATCACAGTAAAAATATTTTTTAAAGAACTTTCCTATACTTCAGATTACCAAAATAATAGGGGCTACTTTATTAACTAGCAAAACTGCTTTTTATAATCATGTCTTCCTACATATACTCCCTTCAATTCAACTACATATCTCATACCCCCACTAAACCCAACAGACATGATCGTGTTCCCCTCTATACTATGCTCCGTGTTTCCAGGGTCAGCTACTCTAATCCATATTTAAAGGTGCTAAGTTGAATTTTTTTCCAGGTATCTTAAGTTTAACATATCCTCCCAAAATTCCTGCTCTTTTATACTACGCCACTTTGAAATCTGGAAGGTATCTAAGAACAAGTCTCCTCCTCGACTTATTCATTTAACTGACAGTTATTGAGCACCACCCACTTCTCTGCATTCTTCTGTAAGACTATAACAATAAAGGTTAAAATTTCTCTCTCATGAAACTCATAGTGAGGTGGATCTCGGACAGATAAGTCAACAATTCTAAGTCAGCACTATGGAATAAACAGTATGCCTGAAGTACCTACAACATGCTAGGAAGACCTATACTTTACAGTGTACAGAGAGGAAACAGCCTCCTCCTACTACAAGAAAACTGACCAAGAAAGTTGAAGGGCTCAGAAAGCTAACTCAAACAAGCTATCCAGAATACAGCCTCGATTAGATATGATTCGTAGAGACTGCTTAGGATAAATATAAATTATACCTGAAAACTGAAGCAACACATTAGGAGAGTCCAACTTGAGAAAGCTGAACTTTGAATTCAGATTTCTGGAGAAGGGTACCCTTTCATAAAATAATTGCAACCCTCAACCTTCAAGACATTTGACTTGGGAAAAGAGCCAATATAAAAGTAAAGAGAAGAGTGTAAGATGGAGATAAAGTCGAGCAAAATCAGCAAGAAATTCACAGAAAGACCTGAAAGAATCAACAGTCCATTTCTTAAATCCTAGTTGGATATCAAGCAAAAGCAACAAGGATTTAAAAAGCAATCTTCAACAAAAAGAATTTCTCTTACACTCAACATCCTTGGATAAACCTAATATTGGCTATTTAAACCAACTGGGTTCAAAGTAGAGAACCTAATGTGATTCTGGCTTAAGCTTTGGTATATGTAAGAGTTACCTGGGAAGCCTATTAGAAATGCAGATTCCCAAATTATATCCTCAAAGTGAGGATTACAAAGGCCAACAAGAACACTGTTAAAAATACTATGAGACTTACCAGTGTTACATGATGCAGTCCAAAACACTAGGTTGAACAATATGAAAATTACTACTTTAATAAGGTGAAAATAATCAAATACAAAAATGTCAAAGCAAGTGACTGAAAAACGCAGTTTTTTCAACAAAGAGTGCTAAAACACCCAGTAAAGGGTCTCACCCACCAGTTATGTCAGACTCCTTCCCTACATCTGCCCTACATGCATCAATTACCCAGGATTGTCAATTTTAACTTTCTATATTTCAACTCTATCCCTCATAAATGTTCTCTTTATCACAGCTTCTTTTTTCCATCTGAACCTCAAAAGCCTCAGAAGAGTCTCTGCCTTCAGACCATTCTCTACCAACCAATCCCTGCTTACTGGCAACTATGCAATCTTACTTATTGTATCACTATCCAGTTTAAAATCTTTCAGATGTTATCTATTATTCTGAAGCTTTTAGGTCCACTGGAAAGAATTCATAGTCTTTGATTAAAATATTTAGAGGGGTAAAACTACAGACATTTTTATACCAGTAGCAGTTTTCATAATCAAATTTAACTACGTTAAATCACTTACATCATAAAACAATTTCCTATCAGCAGCCAGACGTTTGGAAGCCAGAGTCTTGGTAACATGATAGAAGGTAAGTAATGCTCTATGCTGTCGAAGATCATCTTGGACTTTCACAGATTCTATAAGAGTGGGAATCAGTTCAGGCCACTGTCTAGGACAGTCCAATCGAGCAACTTTTGCAATCAGTACTGCAATCTGAGTTGCAATCTAAAGGGAAAAAAATCATCAGAAATACACATATGTAATCAAATCAGCAGATAAGTAATGCATTCACAGTTGAAAATTACCTTTTGGTTAGTTAGACATTTGACAAAAGTGAATAAAATTTCACTGAAAACTGCTTACTGAAGACAATGATTCACAAAGTATGGTCTATGAATCCTCTGAAGAGAGGATGGGGCTAAGAACTTTTCAGGGGTCTACGAGATCCTCCTTTTCCCTCACTCATCAGTGAAGCTAGATTTTCTTCATGTAACTTCTCCCAAAATAATACATTCCAACAGAGTAAATGAAGAAGCAGATAGCAAAATCTAGATGTCTTCTTTTAAATACCCAGACACTATGGCTATATGCAAAAAAGCACAACAACACTACTCTTCTCACTAAATATTTGGGGAAGAGCTATGGTTCATTTTTTAAAATTCCGTTATGTTAACAATCAATGGTTTTGTTATTTTCAATTAATATTTTTAAGTTTGTTTTAATTGCTAAAACAGTAAATATTAAAGATATAACACTTTTTAAACATTCAAATTAAAGTAATTAAGTGTAATAATAGTATCTTGTAAAAATCTAAGAATTTTTGTAACCGTAAGCAAAACTTAGTCTTTTAAGAAAAATCTCACTCTAAAGGAAAGAAAAAAATTGAACTGTGTCATATATTATCTAACCCCCTCAGAGTACACAGTGAGAATGGAAAATGTGATGGATGAAGGAAATAGAGAAGACATCATGTAGTTTAAAAAAAGGTGGGAATAACATAAATCATTAAAATTAATTTCTAAGACTACAAATATATAGAGACTTGCTTCCAATAGTATCTTAAAATGACTTCTGAATTTTAAAACAATAGCCAAATAAAACCAAAATTCTTAACAGCTCGAACTGAATCTCAGAATTTAAAACCCATAAACATCACAAATGGACATTGTAAAATGTCATTTTTAATGCAAAAAAAAAAAAATTAGTTCAGGAAAGAAGTACAAAGTAAGGCAAAGGAAAGAATACTTAGCATTCGTTTTCTCACTAACCTGGTTTACTGGTTCATTGAAGTTGGTGATTAGCCCTGCACGCAAAGTAGATTTCTCCTCCTCTGAGAGAGCACTGTAAAAAGATTTATTTATTATGCAAAAGAATGCTACCTAACAATAAACACTGGTAAACACTATTTTGAATTTTAACAATAAAAAGCCTTTCAAACGAGGGGTTCTGATTAGTTTTGGTAAACAAACAGAATTGTTTCCATTACTTATAATATTGGCACATCAAGTAATTCATAAGCATAAAACTCCTTCACAACTGAATAAATATGAAGCACAAAATAGTAAACAGGAGGAAATAAGACAAATCCAAAGTAAGAAATGTGGTATTTTGACATCTACTTTTATTGATATAAAAACAGTTGCCTAAAAAAAAAAAATTAATCGCTGCTAAAAGAAATGTGTATGAGTATGTATTAGTCTTCCACTGACTTCTTCTATAAAATCTGAGTGAGGTTATTCCATGGAGGACCAGGAATCAGAGGATATCTGGGATGAAAGAATCATTAGAAATCAACTAGTTTAAAAATCTAGAACCTTCAGAATAAGCAAAGCCCTGACAAGCATCTTCACTTTAGACTTCTAGACTTCTGAACTGTAAGAGAATACAATTCTATTGTTTTAAGCTACCTAGTATCTGGTAGGTAGTGATGGCAGACCTAAAAAACTAATGCAGCATCCAAAAACAATGTAGGCAGCCAGGACTTGAGAGGGGTCTTAGAAAGAAGGGAAGGGAACTGTGCTGAACCAGTACATTTCCCCTTGAGGTATCTGCCCACAAGGAATCAAGGTGAGAGCAGCAGCTACAAGACTAATAAGCAAGGAAGAGATTTCACCAGGTCTCAGGGTTGGAAAGACAAAAACTAAAGCTCAGGGCCAATCAACAAGGCAATACTTTGGGTAAACACCCAAAGCCTGCAGCTGAAACCCCAAGAAGGCTAAAAATTGGGATTAAGAGTAAACCAGAAAGAGACCACCCTCAACTAAACCAAGGTTGAAGTCATACTCTATTTTGCTTGCCTGGAAGAAATTAAATTCTCTCTAGTGAAAAAAACAAAATTCCAAGCCTCTCCAATTTTCCCTAAACAATGTTTAGCACTGAGTCAAAACTTATCATGTACAATATATACCAAGTAAAAATGATTAAAATCAAAACACGAATAGAAACAGGAGATATAAAAATTGTAGTTATAAAAATCACACTTAAAAAAATTGTGGTTATGTTCAAGAAAATAGGTGAAAACTATAGTATTTCACCACATAGGTGGAATTCATCTTTTAAAAAATACCAAAGGGAAATCCCAGAACTGATTAAAAAGCGGGGGCTGGGGGGGGGGTTCGGCAAAACAAAGGTAATGAACTTGAAGAAATGTCAGTGGAAAATATCCAGATTAAAATATAGTGAGAAAAAAAGAGACTTCTAGGAGCACCTGGCTGGCTCGGGAGGAGTAGAACATCCGACTCTTCATCTCTGGGTCATTAGTTCAAGCCCCACAATGTGTGTAGAACTTACTTTAAAAAAAAAAAAAAAGGTAGAAAAAGAAAGAAAGAGAGAGAGAAAGGGAAAGAAAAAATGGACTTCTAGTTTCAAGGGTGTTCTAAATTGTACTAAAGACAATTCTTTGGCAGAAGACAAATGGATCCAGATGGAAGCCCAATACCAATGAAAGAAATGAGGAACTCTAGGAAGATAAATTTAAAGGAATACTACTGATGGCTTTTCAGGGGAAGATGGCAGAGCAGGAGGATACTAAGCTCACCTTCCCATGCATACAGCTATGTAATACCCACATCTGGTAACACAGGACACAACCTGAAGACTGGCAGAACAGACTCCATAACTAAATGCAGCGAACAGGAAATACTCAAGAGGGTAGGAAGGGAAAAGAGATGGTTAGGAGCAAAATGGACCTGCAAGACTGTCCAAGGGAGGGAGGGATGAGACCGGTGCAGAGAGCGAAGAGGAGCAAACCCCAGTCATGGGGGACACACACAGGGAGGACCAATCCCCATAACTCTTGGCTTTGAAAACCAATGAGGCCTAATGACCACTGGAGCTTATCACCTGGAACATTACAAATCAGTGGGCTAGGACCTGGGAAAGCTGGGAAGGTGGGAGTCCCTGCCCTTAAAGAGAAACCACAACAAATAGCCCTGCTGAGATACGGCACAGAAGGAGCAGTTGGAAAAACATCTACAGTGCCTGGGAAACAGATTTTTCTTTACTCATCACAAAGCCTGTGATGGAGAGGCAGGGAACTTTGGGAGGCTTCTCTGAAAACAAAAGAGCTGGCAGGCGCCATTCCCCTCCCAACCCCAGCCTAGATAAGGAGACAAATGCTGGAACCAGTCAGCACCAACACTTCCCACCTAACCTGCTAACAGCATGCCCCACCCTGGTATTCTCCTGAGTACCTGCCCCTCCAATATGCACTTAGCTAAAGCCCATCCAAAGCAGTGCTACAAGCCTAGAAGTGGGCAAGCAGCCCCAAATGGGCCCAGAACTACTCCAAACGGACTCCCACCATTGAAAGTGAGGGGATGGAGAAATATCTATCATACAAATGGATGTCAAAAGAAAGCCAGAGTAGCAATACTTATATCAGACAAAATAAACTTAAAAGCAAAAAATGAACCAAGAGACAAAGAAGGACACTATATAATAATAAAGGGGACAATCAAACAAGAGATATAACTATCACAAATATTTATGCACCCAACATACGAGCACCTAAATACGTAAAACAGTTAATAACAAACATAAAGGAACTAACAGATAATAATACAATAGTAACGGAATTTAATATCCCACTTACATCTATGGATAGATCATCTTAACATCAGCAAGGAAACAATGACTTTGACTGACACACTGGAACAGGGGGATTTAACAGACATCTTCAGAACATTCTATCCTAAAACAGAATATGGGGCGCCTGGGTGGCTCAGTTGGTTAAGTGTCTGCCTTCCACCCAGGTCATGATCCCAGGGGCCTGGGATGGAGCCCTGCATCAGGCTCCCTGCTCAGCAAGGAGCCTGCTTCACCCTCTCCCTTTGCCCCTCCCCCTGCTTGTGTGCGCACTCTCTCTCGCTCTCTCTCTCAAATAAATAAATAATTTTTAAAACAAGAGAATACACATTCTTTTTTTTTTAAGGGAGGTTGTTTGTCTTTAAAGATTTTATTTATTTATTTGACAGAGAGAGAGACAGGGAGAGAGGGAACACAAGCAGGGGGAGTGGGAGAGGGAGAAGTAGGCTTCCTGCGGAGCAGGGAGCCCAACATGGGGCTCGATCCCAGGACCCTGGGATCATGACCTGAGCCAAAGGCAGACGTTTAACGACTGAGCCACCCAGGTGCCCTGAGAATACACATTCTTTTCAAGTGCACACAGGACAGTCTCCAGAATAGATCACATATTAGTCCACAAAACAAACCTCATCAAATTCATTAAGATTAAAATCATAGCACACACATTATTTGAACATAATAATATGAAACTAGAATTCAATCACAAGAAAAATTCTGGAAGGACCACAAATACATGGAGGTTAAATAACATGCTCCTAAACAGTGAATGGCTCAACCAGGAAATAAAAGATGAAATAAAAAAGTATATGGAAACAAATGAAATAAAGAAAACACGTTGGTCCAAAACCTCTGGGATACAGCAAAAGTGGTTGTAAGAGTGAAATTTATAGCAATACAGACCTACCTCATGAAGCAAGAAAAATCTCAGATAAACAACTTGACCTTAAACCTAAAGGAGCTAGAAAAAGAACAAGCAAAACAAAACCAGCAGTAAAAAGGAAATGATAAAGATTAGAGCAGAAATAACTGATATAAAAACTAAAAAAGAAAAAAAAAGGGATGCCTGGGTGGCTCAGTCAGTTAAATGTCTGCCTTCAGCTCAGGTCATGATCCTAGGGTCCTGGGATTGAGTCCTGCATCAGCCTCCCTGCTCAGCAGGGAGCCTGCTTTTCCCTCTGCCTACTCTGCCTGCTCTGCCTGCCGCTCCCCCAGCTTGTGCGCACTCACTCTCTCTGACACATAAATAAAATCTTAAAAAAAAAAAAAAAAAATAGAACAGATCAATGAAACCAGGAGCTGGTTCTTTGAAAAAAATTAATAAAATTGATAAACCTCTAGCCAGACTTATCAAGAGAGAAAGGACTCAAATAAATAAAATCACAAATGAGAGAAGAGCAATAACAACCCACAGAAACACAATCATAAGAGAATATATTAAAAATTAGATGTCCCAAAATTGGACAACATAGAAGAAATGGATAAATTCCTAGAAATATATAAAGTACCAAAACTGAAAAGGAGGAAATACAAAATTTGAGCAGACCAATAACCAGCAAAGAAATTGAGTCAGCAATAAAAAAAAAAACTCCCAACAAAGACCAGGACCAGGTGGTTTCATAGGCAAATTCCACCAAAGATTTAAAGAAGAGTTAACACCTATTCTTCTTAAACTATTCTAAAAAATAGAAAAGGAAGGAAAACTTCCAAATTCATTCTATGAGGCCAGAATTTGTTTGATAACAAAACCAGATAAAGACACTATAAAAAAGAGAACTACAGGCCAATATCCCTGATGAACACGTATGCAAAATTTTTCAATAAAATACTAGCAAACCAAATTCAACAATACATTAACAAAATCATTCACCACTATCAAGTAGGATTTATCCCTGGGTTGCCAGAGTGGTTCCATATGCGCGAATCAATCAGTGTAATACATCACATCACTAGGAGAAAGGTAAGAACCCTTCCATCATTTCAATAGATGCAGGAAAACCAGTTGACAAAGTACAACATCCATTCATGCCAAAAACCCTCAACAAAACAGATTGAGAGAACATATCTCAACAAAATAAGGGCCATCTATGAAAAACCCACAACTAACATCATCGTTAATGGGGAAAAATTAACAGCTCTTCCTCTAAGGTCAGAAACAAGACATGGATGTCCACTCTCACTACTTTTTTTCAACACAGTACTGGAAGTCCTACCTCGAACAATCAGAAAAAAAAAAAAATATAAAAGACTTCCAAATT